TATATATACATATATATTAAGGCAGTGCTGGGGAGATGGCTGAGTTTGTAAAGTACTTGCTTGTCCAAGCATGAGGACCTAAGTTTGGATTCACAGCACTCACATTAAAAAGCTAGGAGCACTGTAAACTCAGCACTGAGAGGTAAAGACAGAAGGATCCCAGTGGCTTGCTGGCCAGCTAATCTAGCCAGAGCAGTGAGTTCCAGGTTCACTGAGAGAACCTATCGTTAAAAAAATAAGGTGATAGGGGCTAGAGAGATGGCTCAGTGGTTAAGAGCACTGACTGCTCTTGCAGAGGAGCCGGGTTCAATTCCCAGAACCCACATGGTGGCTACAAACCGTCCTTAACTCCAGTTCCAGGGGAATCCGAAGCCCTCTTCTGACCTCCGCAGCACTGCACAACACAGGTGCACTCTCAAGGCAACACACTCATACACATAAAAAATAAAAGAAATAAAATATTTTTTAAAAATATGTTAAAAAAAATTAAGGTGATAGAGGAAGACACTGATGTCAATCTGTGACCTGGTATGTGTAAGACATATCTACTTCTGGCCTCCACATGCAATCATAAAGAGACAGATTAAAGATCAAGGCAACAGATAAGAAGTAAACAATGGTTTCTGTCCCTTTTTTAACTACAAATGGAGCCAATGTACTATCATTATGGCAAGAATCAGGCAAAAGCACAGTGAGACAGTTGTTCTGCACCACTTTGTTTTTCATTTTAGGCAAAAGATCTATCCACACACACACTTTTTTGTGTATGTATGTGTACATGTGGGTATGTCTGCCAATGCAAAATGTGCATGCAGAGGCCACAGGCTAACATCAGTGTCTTCCTCTATCACTCTCGACCTTACGTTTTTGAGATATAGTCTCTCACAAAACCTGGAGCTCAATGATTGGCTAAACTGATGGTCTTCAAGCCCCCAGGATCCTTCTCTTTCTGCCCCCAACACTGGGATTAAAGGCAGGTACTGCCATGTCCAGCTTTTTATGTGGATGCTGGGGATCTAAACTCAGGTCTTTATGATTGAACAGCAAACATTTTAACCACTGAGCCATCTCCCTATCCCCAGTTATTTCCAAAGAAAGCAAGGGCATGCTCTCAAGTAAATTTGTAGACTCAGTGCATGTTAGAAACTTAGACATCATCTAATCTACTTCATATTACAAAGCCACTTAAACTCAAGAAAAAGAAGTAAAGTTTTCCAAGAAAAATAGTTAATATTGGACAAAGCAACAGGATTAATGATTTCCTAACTTTTAGCCAAGTGGTCTTTTATCCCATGTTCTCTGCTTTAAACATCCATTACAATATTCAGCAAGCAATTTTTTTTTTAATTTGCACTTCTCACTCCAAATCAGCATAAAAGAGAATATTAGTCTGAAATACAAATATCTTAATAGAAAGGCCATTTCCACTATCAGTAGGAGACTCTTCCTTTAAATGAGAGCATGTATATGTATGAATGTTCTGTTTCTCTAAAATTTACCTATTTGCCTTTCAGAATTTATAAAATGAAGCTAGATACCTAAGTCATATTGGTATTGTAACTTAAACAGCTGAATGAACTACAACACTTCTTCCCAAATATTTTAACTTCAGTGTTAAATTACTAACCCTTCATATTATGTATGTATACACATAAATTCTTTTTAAAGAGTTTTTATCAAAACTTTTTTATATTTACTTTTTTCAATTTTATGTGTATGAGCATTTTGTCTACATGTATATATGTGCACCACATACATGCCTCGGAAGGTGTCAGATCCCCTGGAACTGGAGTTACAGACTATTGTGAGGCACCATATGAGTGCTGGAACCAAACCCAGGTGCTCTGAGGAGCAGCCAGTGCTCTTAAACATTGAGTTATTTCTCCATCTATACAAACTTTTTATATGCTAGAGGAAGAAGATAGTGAAAATGCAATCTATTTCATCATAATTCAGTAAAGTTTACAATAAAATCCTATATATAAATCCAGCATAAAAGAGTCAATGAATGGCCTCCAAAAGAAAAATAAAATTTATATTTACATTTCTAAGTCTAGACAATTCTTTCTTAGAAATGTTTTCTAAAAGGATATTCACAAGCCTAATAAATATATATGTATTTATAAGAAATTCTCAGTGTGGGATGAGTATCTTTAGATCTTCTAACAAGGGAGAAAACAAACAAGTAATTCCTAAATAATCATCATATCACAATGAAGAGATTGACAAATAGCCCCCTACAAAGCAATAACATACACTAACCAATTATATTCAATCACTTATTCATGAAGGAGTGATTCTGTTATCACTGTTCTAGCAAAAGCATAATTAAAATAATCTGTGACAATTATACTTTTTATTTAATCAGCTTTGTAGCATTACATTTTTGTAGCAGAATTATGCAAATCTACTTATTTCAAACTATTTAAATCTACTACCATATGACATAGAGAAGATAATACTGATCATTTTAAAAAGCATAACAGTAAAACTTTAATAAGAAAAATATTATTTAAATCTCTTAAAATAAAACCAAAAAAAAGAAAGTTGAAATCCAAAAACATTCTAGTGATAACTTTTAACTAAGATCTAATGACAACTTAATTTAATTATTTCATGATCTCTTTTCTTCTACCTATTGTCTGGGAAAAGATAATTTAGAAAAATGTGTTGAATAATAAATGGATTCTTTAATATTAAAAGTTATTCTGAAAAACAAAGTCCTATATAAATAAGACTAAGAAAATCTGAGCTCATATATTTCCTTAATATTTACTACTTCAAATAATTGCTACAACATTCCAGGTGAACACCTCTGACCAGAGTTGAAATCAGTAGACATACATCTTTGTGATTAAGTTTACAACTGCTACTTCAGAAAATTCTTCAAAAATTAACAAAAACAAAAACAAAATCAAGCATTTTAATACCCAGGTACAACTTGGGGAAAAAAATCATGATAAATCATCAACCCAAAATATGAACAAAAAGGGATAGGGATATGGTTCAGTGACAGAGCACTGACCTAGTATGTCCAAGGCTCTGGGTTTAATTCCCAGTACTGAAAAACAAACAGAGTATTAACAGAAAAAAGCAAAATATACTTACCAGATGGAGACATATACTCTGCATTTGCCCTACACACTACTTTGACAGGCAGATTACACATCTGCAAAAAGGCCTGTAGGTAAAGAAAAACATAAGCTTAAGAGCACATGCATATTTGAAGAGAACTCTTTCTTCAATCCTTTCCTAAACTTCATAGTCCACATAATAATACTCTATCAGAAAATCAGGCAGTTTAAACTAAGCAATTTTTTTTTCTAAACAAAAATAGCACTTTACCATAAAAACAAACCAATGACCTACATATTAGTAAACATATGAAACTTAAAGAAATTATAAATACTTAAGGAAAAATATAAACTATTCATATTTTACATTATTTTATGTAAGCAATATGACATATTGCTTTAACTTTCTTTAATGGATAACTAATGCTGAAATTTTATAAGATAGTTATGGTTTAATTTCTTTGCTCACTGAAGGATTACCATCCTTCTCATCTAACTGGAAAATTCAATGTTCTTTTTCTGCTATTCCAATGTTCTTTCTCCCCAGCACTCATATAAAATGTCTGGCAGAGCAGGTAATCCCAGCTCAGCACAAGGAGATGAAAAGCAGAACCCTGGAGTCTGCTGAAAAGCTGGTCTAGCCAATCACTGAGCTTCAGGTTTAGTGAAGAGGCCCTGTCTCAAAAGATAAGGCAAAGAGCAAACTGAGAAAGACACCTAACATCAACCTCTGGTCTCCATACATGTTACACACATGTGTACACGTACACACAAAAAAGAAAATAAAAAGTAGCTACATAATTGTGAAATAGAAAATCACCTGAGAGTAAGAGGGACTGAGGCCTTCAGTAGGGCAAAAGTTTGAAAGAACTATTTAGTTTACCTCCTCAAAGGCTTGAATATTCAACTGTTAATTAAAAATTACCAAAACCACATAAAATGGTGCATATGGTACATGCATTGTACATGTATAGTGTCACCATACTAATCAGTGTTCCATCGAGCTTATTACACTATTCTGCATCAAATCCATTCTTCTCAGTACCAAGATTCTTCACTTCTTTTTACTAATTAAAAGTTTAATTAATTTTGACCAACTTAACGTTCAAAATACCAGAAACCTCAGATAATGGCATAATTCTAGTTAGTCAGAGATTAATTTTAAGGTGTTTATACAATTATTCTTCATCACTAATTCACAAGGAAATTTCTGAATTTGTAGTTCATAAAGAAACCTGATGTTGCATAGCACTTCTATACGTATATTAAAAATGCAAAAATAAAGCATTACCATGACTAGCTTCAACAGTATAAAAACTTCAAAGCAAAAGCAAACTTTGGCTTAAACATTTCTGCTTTCTTCTGTAGAATGGAAGAGAACTGAAATTCCAAAATAATACTCTTACCTCTCATTTTCACTTTCTTTTATTATTATTTTTACTGCTTTTAATTATGTGTATGTGTGCCTGTGTATAGGTATGTGCATATGTGTGCAGGTGCCCACAGAGGCCAGATATGTCAGATTTCCCTGGAGTTGAAGTTACAAACATTTGCGAGCTGCCTGTGGTAGATACTGGGAATTGAACTCAGGCCCTCAGCAAGAACAGTACATGCTCTTCTTATCCACTGAAGCATCTCTCCAGCCTCTTAATTTTATTTCCAATCTTAGTACACAAAAATACTCCAAATAACAGGCATGATCCACCAACCTAAAACACATCTTGTTTTCAATCTGAAGTATTCCTGATGGTAATAATAATGATGAAGTTAAGATAACTCACCTCTTTTGGATTTTTTGTTTTGTTTTGTTTTGTTTGTTTTGTTGAGACAGGATCTCACTATACAGCCCTGAATGACCTGGAATTTGATGTATAAACTCTGCCTCCTGAGTGCTGGGATTAAAAGTGTGCACCACCATGCCCAGCTATAACTCACCTCTTATTCTTTAGTAGGTCACTTAATCCCAAACCAATTCAAATGAATGGCAACATAAAACAGTTTACTTAGCTTATCCTAAACCTGTGTTTTATAACTAGGTGTCTAAGATGGCAATCAACAGCCATAGATTTCTTTTTAGATTAAGTTCAAGTTTAATAACATTGAATAAAAATTTTACTTCAGTTTCCCAGGCAAACTAGTTCTATTTCAATGTTCCCAACACCCAAAAAGCGGTTCGCCACCACCTGTAACTCCGGTTCCTTGGGATCCAAAGCCCCTTTCTGGCCTCTGCAGGCACCTGGCACACACATGCTATAGATATAAGCATGCAGGCAAAACACTCATACACATGATAATAAAGATATTTTTTAAAAGAGCCTAAAATGTAACATTATCATTTCAATATACTGAATAAATTAATTGACTGAACATCAAAAAATTCATAAGGAGTAGAATGCCAGAATATTTTTTAACTCAAAAAGATTTCAAAGAAAAAATATCAAATCATCAATTACTGGTTAAATATTAAGGGTTGAACTGAGACATTTACCTCTGCAATCTTTTAAAAAATTACTGAACTAACAGTGAGGAAGTAGAAAAGTTATAAACTCTAAAAGACATAAAGAATGGAGACAGAAAAGTAGACCAGAGATGGCAACCCACTCTTGTAAGATGGAAAGTAAATTTAGAAGAGAAAACTGAAATCTAAGAGCTTGCAGAGGAGAAAACCAATATATTTGTATCACAGAAACAAGCAAGATTCCAAAATTGGGGGTGACAGTCAGCACAAAAGACAAAGAGGAATGGAACTACAAACAGAAGGACCGGAGCACAGTCTATTAGACAAGCATCAGACAATCAGCCCACCCCTCTCGATGCAAAAGACAAGAAATTTATTTATTTATTTATTTATTTACTTATTTATTTATTTTATTATTAGTTTAGGTATATGTGTGTATTGCCTGCATGTATGTAAGTGCAACTGCATTGCGCACTGCCCGTGGAAGACAGAAAAGGCTGACGAATCCCCTGGAACTGTAGTTACAGACAGTTTGTTAGCTTCCATGTGGGTGCTGGGATTTGAACTTGGGTGTTCTAAAAGAGTAGTCAGTTTTCTTAACTGCTGGGCCATTTCTCCAGCCCCAAGAGATTTATTCTTTAGAGAAACTGAGGCAGATAGATTCCTGAGTCATGGACCAAGCACAGGAAAGGGCATTGGGTGAGGTGCCACGTGGAAAAGAAGATTAAGGGTAAAAATACACATTTAACTAAAGAGATCCACAGCAACCCTCTCCCACTTAGCCCTCAAACACAGTGTATCACTTCAGAATAGCTTTCGTAAGAAAACAAACAAAAGCCAGGCTGGGTGGTACAGGCAGATCTCTGTGAGTTCAAGGCCATCCTGGTCTATATTAGTGAGTTCCAGGCCAGCCAAGGTTATAGGGAGACCCTGTCTCAAAAACAAAAACAAACAAAACCTACAAATACTAATGGCAAAGTACAAGGGAGTAGACAGTAAAATTTTGCACCATCAAAATTTTAGTGACCTACAGCAGCAAAGGTGGCAATTATATGATTCACAAACCAAATAAGAAGGTTCTATAGAAAAGCTGAAAAATCCAGTTTTGGAGTCCATCCCACATCATTTGTGAACATACCTGGCAAAAGTACCTATACATTTATAGCCTTCAGGCATGCGACTATCAAGGAATCAAGAAATAAATAGAGCACAGATACAGTACAGAATTAAAAACCTAATCAACCATAATTCTTACCTTTGGTTGTTTTTTCCTTTTTTTTTTTTCCTGTTTCTACACTCGAAGTTTAAAATTTTTTAAAGCCAATTTTGAAGCTTTTAAAAGGCAAACCTGGAGAGATGGCTCAGCGGTTAAGAACATGGGCCATTCTTGCAGGGGATTCCCAGCACCCAAATGGTGGCTAACAAACATTTGTAACTCCAGTTCCAGGGGATCCAACGCCCTCTTCTGACCTCATGGACACTGCATGACATGGTACACTTACAGACACGTAGGCAATACACTCATACACATAAAATAAAAATAATAAATAAAATATTTTAAAAATGAAAATAAAAAGCCAAGAAACTATTCCAAAAAGCAATAGCACTACTGGCTGGGCATGGTGGCATACACCTTTAATCCTAGTACTTGGGAGACAGAGGTAAGCAGTTCTCTGTGAGTTTGAGGCCAGCCTGGTCTACATAGCAAGTTCCAGCCTAGTTGGGGCTAGAGGGAGACCCTGAATCAAAACAAAACAAAATAAAACAAAACAAGCAATAGTACTGCTGAAATTTTACTAAAAAGCAATAGAGCCAGTGTTGGCAGGAGGTCTTAGAAGCTCAGCAACTATATGCTAATCTTAACATTAAAAATAATACAGGTCTTATGATTGCTACAGGTAGGTTATGAGAATGACATTTATGAGTAAATTGACCAAAACATCTCAATTAGGCACATCACATTTCAGAAATAATATCCCAGAAAAAATATAGGAGAAAATGAATTAAACTGAACTTAAAGTCAAAAAGTCATCGATTTCCATAAAATAGTAAGTCTGATGATTTCCTTTTTTTATTTTTATTTTTATGTGTGTGAGTATATTGCCTGCATGTGTAAGTGTATCCATGTCCTGAAATACCCACAGAGGTCAGGAGAAGGTGTTGAATTCCCCTGAAACTGGAGTTACAGATGGTTGTTAACCATGATGTGGGTGCTGGGAACCAAACCACTGTAAGAGCAGCCAGGGCTCTTAATCGCTGAGCCATCTCTCCAGCCCCAAGTCTGATGACTTCTAACAGAAGTAAGCAAATAGAATCTACATTAAAAACTTTGAAACAGCAAATATCCTTTATTACAAATGCATAAAGTTAAAAAAAAGGCAATATTCAGATCAGAAAATGGTGAAAAGAGCTCATTATGGAAACACAGCCAAAGCAAGACTGCCTTACATGTGTCACCTTCATAAAGGTGACACTGCTGCCTTGATTGGTGTCCCTAACACCATTTACAATAATTTCACTTACTATTACTGAGTCATCTACTCATCCCACTCATGACCTGTAGCCATTCCCACTCCTTAATACCCCTTTGGTTAAGTGTTCTAGCAGAATCTAACTGATCTCAAAGCAAGTGGCCTGAACGGAATACTA